TCTCCAAAAAAGCCACACCTGCTAATCCTTCCTAAACAGTTCACCAACTGGGAACCAAACATTCAAGTATATCAGCCTATGGGAGCCATTGTTATTCAAACCCTCAAGCACCCTTGCCTTCAGGAATAGTGATGCTATGACCATCCTTGCATTACTATCTCATAGAGGTCCTTCATTCAGTTCTTTTACACACATACTCAGGAGTGGAATTCATGGACCATAAATCTATTTCTCATTTTGTTAAGAATGTCCACTGTCTTTTCATTTGTGTTCTTTGTAACAGATGTTAGTTTCATTGGAAAGAATTTACTATATGCTGTCAGTTTATATTACTGTGTCTGTTACTGCAAATGTATATGTGTATGTATGTTTGTGCAGGAGTGTGTTTTCACTTGTGTGATTGATCAAGAAAGTAAATAGAGCCATTGTGACTTGTGAAAATGAGTTTTTCTTTGTTCATACCCCATCTATTTTTTTCTCAGATCACTTTGTATAGGACTTGGCTTTTGGACCTCTCCTGCATTTAGTACTTTTGTGTTTTTTACACTTAAATATAAGAAAACTTTTTAAAAACAGATTCTTGCTGAATTAACTTAATCCAAAGGAAATTCGTATCTTGTGATGGAATAGATACAGGTGTTTCTACAGGCAGCTTTCTTTATCTAAATTCCTGTGACTCTTTGAGTTTGACAACCATTCTGAAGTATAAAATATGATCACTCTTGCTGAAAATGCAAGGCAAACAGAAGCAAACAAACGACACTATATTTACCTTAGGCAGAGGCTTGGCAGGTCTGCAGTGGAGTCCTCCAACATAATCAAAATTTGGTAAGAGAGGGTGAGGAAATTCCAAATCCCAGTAGGTTCGAATGAGCCATATATCTGCCTTCCCCATCACCTCGGTGAGTGTCGTGGGTCTTCCTGAAGAGGAATCAAAACAGGGAAGTTATAACCCATAACATAAGTGTCATGTAAAGATGAATATGCCAGGAAGTCTCCTGAAACACTTTTGATAACATATTCAAGTTTTTTACAAGCATGTGGCTGGGATACAAAACATTTTTGCATATCTATGTAGCTCTCTCTCTTTCTCTATCTATATATATCTGAGTGTATAATGTTTGACACAAGTTTGTAATATCTGTGTTTCTCATCCTTATGCTTAGAGATATATGACGTCACACTGTGCAAGTAACTTGGGAAAAGACAACACATCTGCAACACACCTTGGAAATTCATGACTACCATATATCCAAATATGCTATTTAAGCATAATCAATGCCATTATCTATGAATCCTGTTTGTCACAGGGAAACACTTTTCCCTTCTATTCTCCATCAAGATTGCCCTGTTTAGCTGCTGGAACCTTGATTTGTGCTCCGTATAAGGGAACTGAGAATTTTGTGCTGTTTTGTGTTGTTTTGAGATAGTCTGATGGAGCCCAGGGTGGTCCCTATGTCACTATGTAGCCATAGTTGACCTTGAACTCCAGATCCTCTTCCTCCTTGTCTCATTGCTGGGATTGCAGGTGTGTGCTGTCACGCCCAGTGTACACATTTGTGGGGGTTCTGCTTCAGCACTTCATTTGGAGACAGACTCTCACTATATCGCCCTGGCTGATCTACAAGATAAGTTCTATTATGCCTGAGTTCCTTGTCCTCATACTGCTCTTGATTCCCGATTGACTGTGTAATAATTAGGTCTGGGTAAGTTTGTTGTAATAATTAGGTCTGTGTAAGTTTGTCTGCAGATAATAAGGATAACAAGTCTTAAAATATGAAAAGAGAGATGTTTAGTCATTAGGTATATTTTAAAACACTGTAACTAGTAACCATTACTTATACACTTTAATGTTATACATTTTGAACACAATTTCAACACTTCTAATAAATAAATATAGATTCTCCAAAATTTTAAATTCACATGCTTTCTGTGCTCATTATATAGACAGTGTATTCACAGCTGTGCAGAAATTTAGCAGGTGAAATAAGAAAATATTTAAAATTATAAATGAGAAAACTAATGTATAAAAGGGAAAAGTTCTCAATGCTACGTAGATCCCTATGCTAGAGATACTTAATGGTCTTCAGTCTAATGTGCAAATCATGAAAACCTTCAGTTTGTTTAAATATACTGTTTTAGGGACCAGGGAAATGGGTTAGATGGTTAAAGTGTTTAATATGCAAGTTTAATGACTTGAGTTCAGTCCCCATGCACTTCTGAACACCTGAATTGATCCTGAGCATCCAAATGAAGGTGGAGGTAAAATTTCAACAAATTTGAATCTGACATCCACATATGTAACACAGATAAAAGCACCCCACCTATGACACAAGTGTTATGTGCATACTCATGATAATAAAAGTAATGCCAGTAATATAATGATGATGATGATGATGATGATGATGATACTACTTCACAGGTAAAGCTATCGTTTTAAAACATGAGGTAAAATGGCTTGTGGATATGTTATTTCTGAGAGAAATTCCCAAAACTTTGTTTTGTGGGTGTATGCCTTTCTGAAATGTCCTGTTCTAGTCATAGATAAGGCTTGCAACTGATACACTTATAAAGTGTATAAGTAATGGTTACTAGTTACAGTGTTTTAAAATATACCTAATGACTAAACATCTCTCTTTTCATATTTTAAGACTTGTTATCCTTATTATCTGCATACGTTTTTCTACAGTGCTTTGGATTTGGCAGAGAATTTCACAGACTTTTCACCATTGTACTTAGGAGAGATAAATCCTTCTTGTTAGCAATCCTGTTCTATCAAGCTCACTTTCAATGACACAGCAAATTTAGAATGCAACAATCTCAATTGAACAGAAACTTACCTAATACTTCACTGTAAAGCTGATTCCACCTCTTCTCATTAAATGTTTGGAACCAAAAGTCAAAACAAAGGACATAGATTACATTTTGCACCCTCTCCATGAATGTCATTCGATCACTCAATTCTGACAGAGTAGGAGGCACATAGGAAGGAGGCAGTGGGAGTCCTCCACTGTACTTTTCATATGTGGATCCAGAAAAGAAGCGGAGACTGTACACAAGTGGTATCTTGAGAAGCTCAGCCAGCAGGTCACCGCAGGGTATGAAGGGATCTGCTACTATGACATCAAAGCTTGAATTGTGTAGTTTTGTCATGAGTTCCTTGTTCAAAACCACATCTTTGCAGAGACTTTCAAAATAATCTGAATCTACCCAAACCAATTCTTGCAACATTAAAAAGTATCTCCAAAATGATTGCTTTGGCAGCTCATAAATGTATTTCCTGAGTGAGTCCATGTAAAGTTCCTCCAAATCAGCCATGGAAAAGGATGAAGGGTATGTCTCAAACTCAATAGCAGATGTGTCCTCAACCTCATAAGAAAGGGAAGCTGAGGGTATCAGAACAGTCACTTCATGTCCCTTCTTCACCAGCTCATCTAGGATTGTCTTTAAGTTGAGCCAATGGCTGTATTCCATTGGCCACACCAGCACCTTCCCACCACTCCCAGATCCAAAGAAGCCACTGAGCTGGAGCAGGAGCAGGGCTGCTGTCATTTTCACAGACATCTTGGTTAAGTTCAGAGCTGCCTTTCAAATGGCAATCATTCAGTTCTTGTAGATATAGACAGAGTAATAATCAATTAGTTAAAGTATAACTTGTACCCACCAAAGCAAAGATAGTCACAGCCTCTGGATGCCAAGTGCAAAAACCAAGAGGCAGATGTGAACATGTGAAATGACTCCTGATTCTCAGTGACCTTGAATGTATAATGTACTTGGAGAACAGTGAAAAGAAAGATCTCCCCCTCTCTCACTGTCTCTCTCCTTTTAATGTAGCTTCCTTGATAAAGAACTTACAGAAAAGACATAACTGTTGAGTCACATTTTTAAAATATTCAGTGTGTCTTCATATGAATGTTGGCAACAGCAATCCTTTACCATACTATTGTATGATTTTAAATAAATGGGTTCAGAGGTTCAGAGTATAACCTCAGAATTATAAACCTGCAATTAATTTAAAGCTGATTTTAACCTAGATAGAATCCCTGTTCTTTTAGTCTTTCCATTGGTTCCAGCCAATCAGGTATCTGCTTTCTTGTAATTAGTCACCCTGGCAGGAGTGAATATATTCTAATGAGACACTTCTGCCTCCCCCCTTGACTATCAGACTATTGAAAGAATGGACAATAAGAATTAGAATTTCCCTGGTGAACTTCTGCTGGGAGAAGAAATGTCTGATGCCTTGGGGGTACCCAGGAGGAATCTGTCCTCAAGGGCCATTTACAAACTAGGGAGGCACTAACATTTCTGAAGAGCCTAGGACCTAAGATAATGATGGAAAAGAGACCACATCATGACTGAACTGCTTAGCTATGCATATGTCTTGTCAGAATCCCAAAGGTGGAGTTAGGTAATGGTGACTGGTTTTCTTTGTGTCATTTCCTAAAGTGATTACAATGAATAAATCTATTTTTTATGCATTTCACAATTGATTTGACTCCTTTGGTTGGTTTATTTGTGTGTGTGTGTGTGTGTGTGTGTGTGTGTGTGTGTGTGTGTGTGTGTAAACTGTCTTGTTGGGACACACAGGCTTTGACTTCTGTGTGTCATGAAACATCTTTGTTTCCTTATTCTGAGCTCTTCGTGTAGCTGGTATAAAATGCTTTTGTGATTGGCTTTGATGTTTATAAGGTTTTAAAGTACTGTCATGTTATAGGAAGTAGCCAAGGTTCTTTTATGTAATGTTCAATCCATTTTGTAACAGAAAGCCCACACTTAATCCCTTATTTTCATTATTCCCACATTGAGGCAAAATATCATTAGAAAAAGTCCAGGGTGCCTCCCTGCTGAAGCTCCCGTGGTGTCCTACACACAGCACCAAGCAAAGCATGAGCTCCTGTGTGGGCTCCACCTCAGAGAGCAAAGGCAAGAGGTCTGAGCAAGCTGGGACAGGAAAGAGGGAATAGGTGAAAGCACCATCACGCTCTTGGGCCGAACCCAGTTTACCCTGACCTGTGCTGTCCGGGAGCCCTGCAGTGGGAACCCCGGAAGTAAGATGGCAGAGTTGCTCCTGAGTGGGCCGCGAAGATAGGGACACCGGTGCAACACGAAGCTGTCCTTGGCGTGAGGACGAAAGTTCGGTGCAACAGAGAGTCCTGGGCGCTGGGCAGGCAGAAGCATGGGCGGAGACTTCTTGCAGGACCTCGTGGGAGTTTAACAGGCTCTGGGCGGGGACCTGGGAAAATAGGGATCCACCCTGCCTGCAGCTGAGTCTCGATCCCAGTTCCCTGGAAGAGGTTTGTGTGGGGTTGTTCTCATTTCTCTTTGGTGTATAACTACAGGAGCCGAATGCTTAGATCTTTGGATTCTGCAGAAGTGGCAGACTGTTTCCAAGGAGCTGCTCACGTTGCCATCCACAGCAGAGTACAGCAGTATCCTGATGTCTCCCCTTGCTCTCTACTGTTTCTCTCTTGATTCCAAGCAGTTAAGAGGATGAAGCCCTATCTCATTGTGGTTTTCAATTGTTTTGAGCTGAGCCTGAATAACTTTAAGAGTAATGATGCTGAACATACTTCCACATGCGTTTTGGCCAGCTGGAGCTCTTTCATGGAAAATGCTTATTCAGATCCTCTGTCCAATTTTATGGTTGAATAAATTTTGATGGGGGTTCAGTTTTTTTATGTGGGGTCATGTCATGTGTTTTCCCTTCCACAATATGCACTTATGACCTTTTTTTTTTTAAGTCTAAGTTCTTTTTTTGGGAATATGACTTCCAAATGCATTCTCCAGCTTTGTGATTTTTCTTTTCAGTACTTTCAATAATGTTTTTTGATGCAGAAAAATTTTCATTTTTGTGAGTCCAGTTAATGAAGTTTAGCTTAGTTGCTCCTGCTTTTGAGGTCAACAGAAAAACCATTTTCAATTTGATAACAAATATATTTTCACACTTTTATCAACACCTTTTATTTATAATTTTTACCTTTATTTTTTGAAGCATTATAAATGAACATTTGTATATGGTAAGAGGTGGAGGTCCATTTTTAATTTTTCATGCCAATAGTTTTCTTACCAGGCTTTATCCCTTGATAAATAAAGAAAAAACAAAACAAGCAAACAAAAACAATCTCTACAACTTTTCCATGCATAGTTTTGTGATCATCATCAAAAAAATCAACCCAATTGTTTACTTTTTTTTTTTTTTTTTTTTTTTTTGGTTTTTCGAGACAGGGTTTCTCTGTGTAGCTTTGCGCCTCTCCTGGAACTCACTTGGTAGCCCAGACTGGCCTCGAACTCACAGAGATCCGCCTGGCTCTGCCTCCCGAGTGCTGGGATTAAAGGCGTGCGCCACCACCGCCCGGCATCAATTGTTTACTTTTTATATTCTCTATAACTTTAGCACTTTCACACAATATATAATAAAGCATACAAATGAAAAAACACCTTCAAGCATTAAGAATCATTTAATGCCAATATGTGAATTAATATGATTATGTGTTCAAAAAAACTGTAGACATTACCTATGCCAAAGAACCTAATATATTGATGCAACAGTTGTCTTTTAAATAAAGATAAAAGTCAATCCCAGATCAGCAAACAAATGTGAAATTATTATTTCCCAATACTATAACACTGAAAATGGAGAGGAATCCTAAACACTGTTCATTTTCACTTTGGAGATTTGGATGACTATTTAAAAAGACTTATCTATTAATAAAAATCTTTTTATAAATGTTACAAGACAAATGGTTAGACAGTTTTTATTTCCCTCAGATTTGAAACATATTCTGAAATAAAGTGACGTGTTTTATGAAACAACACTTATTTTTTGCAAATTATGCTGACGTAAAAGAAGGAAGTCAGAAGTGTTTATTATTTGCAAATAAGTACTTTCAAAATGAGAACATTTTCTCATTTTGATAAAAAGAAAACAACATTTACAAAAGTGCTGCTACATCACTTTTCAACCCAGAGAAACAAAGTCTGTGAATCTTGGAGCTGGGGTCACTCAAAGGCTAAGAGTGCTTGTCAAGAAAGCAAAAGGTCTTGAGTTCAGATCTCCAACGCCCACAGGAAGTCTGGGAGTGGGCCCATGTGCCTGAACCCCCAGTGTTGGGTGTCAGAGGGAGATAGATCCTGGTATTACAGTGGTATTGGATGTCCATTCAGGGAAAGTTATTTTCTTCTGGTCAAAAGTGTGGAATCTGCCTTTGGGTATGGACAGGCCATTGTCTCCTCCCTTAAGCTTGGTCCAGTTGGGTTACTCAGTCACCTGGCTAAGGATCCACCCCTCAGGAAGGCCAGTTCACCTTAAGCTGAGTTAAAGTACTGGGAGAAGTAATTACTCCTTTACTGTAAGTTTTCCTTCCCAGAATTCCTCTGTCTGTGCAGTCCAGCAGCAGCCATGTGCTTTGCCTGCTGACTTTCCCTGGTCCTCATTTAGAAAAGTGTAGCTTTTATATTTTCTGCCCTTTGTCTTCTTCTTTCAAATACTTGTCAAAGCCTGGGCATGCTTTCCTCAATGTTCTGGATTTCTTATTCTAATTCCCAAGTTACCTCCCTATTCTTCTACTGCGTGGTTGCTTACAAACTGTATAGTTTGTTAGTTTCATTTCCTTATTACTTACTACCTTTCCCTCCCAATGCTACTACATGGACACACACACACACACACAGTCAAAAGAAATCTGTGTATTTTAGTTTTGCAGGAAAGCAGTTAGAGAAAGTAACACATAAATTTTCACAAAGACAAAACAAAGCAACATTTAATTAGAATTGTTCTTCTCTGCCTTCCATATACATGTCCTGGCTCATGAATACCACACAAGCCCACACTTACAGTAATACAGTAAAAAAAATTAAAAATCCAGTAAACATCTATTTTTTTTTTGTTTTGTAACATGGGAATTCCTGGTTAAAGAATAGATACATTTTCAGTATTATTATAATATTATCAGATACCCTGGGACTGGAGATACAGGTTGTCATGAGCCACCCAAACTGGGTGCTTCTTACTGTACTCAGGTCTTCTGCAAGAACAATATGTGCTCTTATTCCTGAGCCATGTGTCCAGCTTTGTTTTCTGGTCATATGAGCTACTGCTGTTTCATAGCCATGTATTATCCCACCATCAGGTTTCATTTCTAGTCAAGTTAGTAAAAATCCAGGAATCCTAAACATCAGGAATACAACGGCAAATGGCAGTCATGTCATAACATTGTGGTATGACTCATTTGCATTTTCAGCAACAACTTACACCCACACCACACTAAACTCCTCTTGGGCAGAGACCATGCCTTACTCATTTTTATATCTCCCCTTCATAGAATGGCTTTTGAATAAAGCCATGTATCTAGTTCTATAATCCTCCTGTATATTATGCATTTCTCCTGGGTAGGATCAAATTTTAAGTGTAAAAACAAGACTGTACTACTCAGATAGCTAATTCAGACATAACTTGATAGTACTAATCTAGAAATGGGAAGAATGCTTTTAGGCATAGTGTGATTTCTGTATGTTGAGGAGACTATTATTATTATTATTTTTAAGAAAAACTAGGACTTTATTTTCAAAGTTGCTGAACCTGGGGGCTGCATACTTTCAAAACAGTTTAATGCTGACCAAGCTACATGAAAGCCATTGTCTTTGACAGACATACTCCGGGATTTAAATGAACTATACCAAATAACCAAATACAATGGTCTCTTCATGCAGCTGTTTGAATGTATACTTTGTATTTCACTTCTCTACTGGGACCATCAAGTACAATTCCAAATAAAACAAAACACTTAACCGTCACCAAAGAACAGCATGGTTTTTATAGTCCAAGTGGTCATTTGGAGTGCTTCACCCTTAGAAACTGTGCTTCCTTTGAATTTATAAGAGAAGCTCATATTTGACACCATTTTTGGGTCAAGAATCGGTGGCCAGACAGGACATACAACAAAGCGGGAACCTACTGATATATTCTGTTAAATGACTATTGCGCTAAACTGATTCCTAATGACTAATAGCTATACCAATAGATTAAAGAATCTCAAGTCTCACCAAGAATGTTTTGGAGTAGATAATGATTAGTGTAGAGCCCCACAACTGGCTCAGGTACAGAGCATAAACAATGCTAAGTCATAAATGGGACATCTATATCACATACCATCCCTCCAAGGCTCAGATAATTGCTGAAAAAAGCTAGCAAGAGCTAGAGGTGGTGGATAACTACAAGGAACCTGTGTGTTTCATATGCACCAGGGCATCTGTACTATGACTCCCATGGATTGTGATGGATTGTGACAGCAAGCTCAAGACAGAACAAATCTCAGCGTGGAGAGGAGAGGTGAACATGGAGTCCCACCCTTAGCTGGGGAGCTGTTAGTAATTGATACTGTTGGGAGAAGAGCCAGATCTTTTATAAGAATATTTATTGCTTGTGGTAAGTCTACCACACTACAGTGGAAGACTACATACCCAAGATTATACAGCAGCAAACATCGAACTGGAAGGGTGGGGGAAAAGGACACAAAGTGGGGTGGCTAATGAGCAGAGATGGATCTGAACAGAGTTAGGAGAGAGGTTTAATATAATCCAAACATAGTATACCAAATTCTCAAATAAGACTTTAAGGAAGACTCCATGGGCTCAAGAGATGACTCAGTGGTTAAGAGCAATGACTGCTTTTCCTGAGGACATACATTCAATTCCCAGTACCACCATGGTGACTCTAGTTCTGGCCTCATGGTCACCAGACATGCAGGTGGTGCAGAGGTATACATGTAGGCAAAACAATCTGTGTGCACATGTGCATGTATGTACACAAGTATGTGTGTGTGTTTGTGTGTATGAAATTATCTATCTATGTATCTATCTATGTATCTATCTATGTATCTATGTATCTATCTATGTATCTATGTATCTATCTATGTATCTATCTATGTATCTATCTATCTATCTATTTTTGAGACAGGGTTTATCATATAAGCTCTGGCTGTCCTAGAACTGTCTCTGTAGCCCAGGCTGGATTGGAATTCAGAGATCCACCTGCATCTGCCTTTGGAGTGCTGGAGTTAAAAGTGTGTGCTACCATGCCTGGGTACTATTTTATTTATTTTGTCATTTGTATTTTTTTTACATAAAATAACTTTTTTCCTTTTTGTTTTTGGAAACAAGTTTTCTCTGTGTAGCCTTTTTTTATCAGGGAACTTACTCTGTAAACCAACCTGCTCTTGAACTCAAAGAGATCTCTTTGTATCTACCTAGAGTGCAGGGATTAAAGGATTGAGCCATCACTTCTAGGCTACATGAAATAATTTTTTTTAAAAAAGGAAAAGTAAATTAGCAAGGCAAGATAGCACACACCTTTAATACCAGTACTCCAGAGGCAGATGCAGGTAGATTTCTGTGAGTTCAAGGATAGCCAGGCCTACATAGAGGGTTTGAGGATACACAGAGCTACAGAGTGAGAGTCTGTTTCAAGTATACAAGTCAACAATCATGAAGAAGAACTAGTAAATGAATAGAAAGAAATAAAAAAAGAAAGTAATAAAGAAACAAAATTTTCACTCCAAACCCTGGTCTGAAGTGTTGGCTCAGCAGTTAAGAGCTCTGGTTGCTGTTCCAGAGGACCCAGTTAGATTCCCAGCACCCACACGGCTCTCAGACATCTGTAACTCCAGTCACAGTTACTTAATCTACCTTCTAGCTTCTGAATGCACCAAGCACACATGTGATACACACACATACACCCCGATCAAACACTCATGCAGCGTGTATAAATAAATAAGATTTAAAAATAGGGACCTAAAATGTGATTCCAAGCAAGTAGGCTTGGAGAGGGATTAGAATGCCTTATAAAGGTGTTTCTATAAAATAAAAACTACAGTATGGAAATTAATGGGGTAATATGCCTTTAAATTCTAGATATGCAGAAACTGGAATTAAGTGCTAACCAGGGCAGAAGGAGGGTGTTTGAAGTGAACCTTGGAATGGCCACATCACCCTGAACCCACTTGATCTAATCTAAGGTGAACTTTGGTTTCTGTTCAGGATTGTTTTGAATCCAAGTATTGGATTCCTGTAATTTTCTGTCTGTGAACAGTCAGTGTTCTTTTAATCCTTGCAAGCAAAGTTTTCTTTTGGCCAGTGTTGCCTTTATAGCTAGATCCTGTAACCTGGGCACATTGGCATAACGTTTCCACATCCATGGAATTCTCTTGGGCCGCTTCAGCTCTCTTCCTTATTTCATGTATTTCTAGCATCAGCTTGGTTGTGTTTCTCTGGGGTTAAGACACAGGGGATCACATTCTCTCCTGGGTTCAGAAGGAGCAAGGGCTTGTGATTGACCAGCTTTCTCATCTTTCCTTTTGTTGGACACTCTGCACTATTGCAGTTACTCTTCCTTTCTGTCCTTGTCTATGACTGATGCTTCCCTGGGTAACCTAATCATAATTCATTTCCCAACCTTTTTTTTTGTGGTGCTGTTGTGTATATGCTCTAACAAATAAAGCTTGCCTGGAGATCAGAGTGTGGAGCTAGCCACTAGTTAACCATAGAGGCCTGGCAGTGATGGCACACACTTTTAATCCCAGCACTTGGGAAGAGGAAATAGAAAGATCAGGAGTTCAAGGCCACCCTGGGCTACACGAGATTTATCCAGTCTAAAAGAGAAACAGAGCCAGGTGATGGAAGCTCACACCTTTTATCCCAGCACTAGGGAGAAGGATACAAGGCATTAGGAGACAGGAGCTCAGCCATTTGGTTTGAGGATTTGGCAGAGGTAAGAAGTCTGTCTAGTGGCTGGCTCCTTTACCTCTCTGACCTTTCAGCATTTACCCTGATATCTGACTTCAGGCTTTTATTATTAAGACCAATTAGAACTCGAGCTACATTTTTATGAAGTATACACCGTGCTGTAGGATGTTCTGTATGGCAAATGTGTTGCTAATTAGTCAATAAATAAAACTGATTGGCCATTGGCTAGGCAGGAAGTGTAGGCGGGACAAGGAGGAGAATAAAGCTGGGAAGTGGAAGGCTGAGTCAGAGAGACACTGCCAGCTGCCACGATGAGAAACAGCATGTGAAGATGCCGGTAAGCCACGAGCCATGTGGCAAGGTATAGATTAATAGAAATGGATTAATTTAAGCTGTAAGAACAGTTAGCAAGAAGCCTGCCATGGCCATACAGTTTGTAACCAATATAAGTCTCTGTGTTTACTTGGTCGGGTCTGAGCGGTTGTGGGACTGGCAGGTGAGAGAGATTTGTCCTGATCGTGGGCCAGGCAGGAAAACTCCAGCTACAACACCGTATAGTTTACAGGAGTGACAGTTGTCCCAGGGCTCACTTTATCTTCACTAACTAGGGTTACTGCTGCTTCTGAACTCTGACCTTTAACTGTTTATGGTGGAAGCGCTCAGCTCCTCATTTTTGGTAAGATGGTTTCTAGTTTCAGTGTGTGTGCTTCTCATTCAGGATTTCCATTTTGTTGATAAAATTGTGTAGCTGGAAGTTTTCCTGTGTCCTCTCTGGCACGCAGCAGCTCATAAAATAATCACTCAGAGGCTTAATATTAATTACAAGCTGGTCTATGGCACAGGCTTCTTGCTAGCTAGCGTTTTCATCTTAAATTTACCTATTTCTATTAATCTATGTATCACCACATGTCTTGTGGCTTTACCTGTGTTCCATTATGTCTTGTTCCACTCGTGGCTCTCAGTGTATCCCTGACTCTGCCTTTTTTCTCCTTGCATCTTTCTTGGATTTCTTGCCTGGCTATAACCTTTCTTGCCACAGTATGAAGCAGCTACTTTATTATCCAATGGTAGCAACACATATTTAAAGCATACAGAGAGACCATCCCACAGCAAAATGTGTTAATTTCACCTGGTGCTCCAGTAGGGTTGAGCTTACACTTGAACAGAAGACCTCTTGTATGTTCTGAAATTCAATGTTTACCATTAGAGGAGTCCATTTCATAATGTGTGGATATTTTATTGCAGGGATTAGGGTGTCAATGGCATAGATATTTTTGTGATTCTGCACTGCACAAAGCATTTTTCATCTATAACATATGGAGCCACATCATGTGCAAGATACAGTTTTCTTTTGTCTTGCTCTTATCTGGAGACTTGGTTTCTTGTAGTTAACTCTGCTGTCTATAAAGTGATAACTATTGTTTTTACTCTTTGCTATTAGAAATTGAAAACTAATTATAGGAACTCTTTTACATCATACAGATAATCTCTGTCTTATATTCTGGGTCATGATATAGAATACCGTGGTTTTTCATAATAAACTCATGTCAACTGCAAACAGAAATCACACTATGCCTTGAAACATTCTTCCCATTTTTTGAATAGCCACTATCAAGTTATATCTGAATCAGCTATGATTTCAGGTTAGAATAGTCTTTTTTCATATTTAGAATTTTATCCTACCCATGAGAAATTTAAAGTATATACCCAAATTATAGAACTAGATTCAAAACCATTCACGGAGTGTCCCATTGTACTTTGAAGTGGGGATACATGAAGAAGACATGATCTCTGTCCAGGATGAACCTAATATAGGGTGGGTGTGAGCTGTTACTGAAAGTAGAAATGAGTGACATAACTTTTGAAAATGCTATGACTTGAGTGCCATTGCCTATTTTATTCCTGATGTTTAAGATTCCTGGATTCGTATGAACTGGAACAGAAATGAAATCAGATGGTGGTATGATGACACATGGCTATATCAGAACAGTAACTGATATGACTTCAAAATAAAGCTGGAGTTGTGTGACTCCCAGATTCATCCTTAATGAGTTTCTTTATTCAATCCAGGACCATCATAATGTAGAAAGGCTCAACCTGCTGTGGAGAGGACTGAGGGAGACCAGCTCCCTCTTATTATCCCAGGGTATATACTCTTGAGCAGGGAGAAATGAGGGCTTTGTAGATAGAAGTGTAAAGAAGGAAGAGATAGTAAGAAAAAACAGGATATCCTCGGGAAGGCCTGGGTCTGAACCCACCAGACCCTTCTATCTCTACTAAACAGTTTTTAAAAGGAATGCCAAGGGGTGGAGCAAAAGAGCTCCCCCAAGCACAGCCAAGTGCAGAACATTCCAGATATCTGGTGACCATGCACATGGACCAGCCATCCCCTAATGCAGCCCTACTGTGTAAAGCAAGCTCAGATCTCACTAGGAATCCTCTGTGGTCTCCCACAGAGGACCACAGGAATGGTCCTTCCTGTATCAGGTCGTCTCAATCTGCTGTGGGTAGGACCACTGCTGGCTTGAAATACATACACTTTTGATGGAATGAATACAGGTGTTTCTATAGGTGGCTTTCTTTAACTAAATTCCTGTGACTCTCTGAGTTTGACAACCATTCTGAAGTAATAAAATATCACTCTTGCTGAAAATGCAAGGCAAACAGAAGCAAACAAATGGCACTGTATTTACCTTAGGCAGAGGCTTGGCAGGTCTGCAGTGGAGTCCTCCAACATAATCAAAATTTGGTAAGAGAGGGTGAGGAAATTCCAAATCCCAGTAGGTTCGAATGAGCCATATATCTGCCTTCCCCATCATCTCAGTGAGTGTTGTGGGTCTTCCTGAAGAGGGATCAGAACAGTGAAGGTATAACCCATGACATAAGCATCAGGTGAAGATGAATATGCCAGGGAGTCTTCTGAAAGCACTTTTGATAATGTAGTCAGAGTCATTTACAAGCATATGGCTGGGATATGAAACATATTTGCACCCCCCTCTCTCTCTCTCTGTGTCTATGTACATCTGAGTGTTTTAACACAAGTTTACACTATCTATGTTACTCATCCTTATGCTTAGAGATATATGAATTCACTGTGCAAGTGGCAAGTGACGTAGAAGATACCACATCTGTAACATACCTTGGAAATTCAAGATTACCAAATATCTAGATATGCTATTTAAATATATCCAATTTCCTAATCTATGAATCATGTTTGTCATAGTCAGGGAAACACTTTTTCCTGCTATTCTTCATTAAAGTTGTCCTGGTTATCTGCTGGAATCTTGATGTGTGCTCTCCTAAGGGAACTGAGAATTTTGTGCTGTTTTGTTTTGGAGATATTCTGATGGAGCCCAAGTGTGATTCCTATGTCACTATGTAGCCATAGTTGACCTTGAACTCCAGATCTTCTCCCTTCATGTATCATTTGCTGGGATTACAGGTGTGTGCTGACACATCCAGTGTAAATATTTGTGGGGATTCTTGCTTCAGCACTTCATTTTGAGACAGGGTCTCACTGTGTAGGCCTGGCTCACTTCAAAGATAATTTTCAATTATGCCTGAGTTCCTTGTCCTCATACTGCTCTTAATTCACAATTGACTGTGTAATAATTATGTGTAAGTTTGTTTGGAGATAATAAGGATAACAAGTCATAAAATATGGAAAGAGATGTTTGGTCATTACGTGTATCTTAAAACACTTTTACTAGTAATCAGTGTCTACACTTCATTGTCATACATTTTTAAACTTAATTTTAACCCCACTAATAAATAAATATAGATTGTCCAAAGTCTTAAATACACATGTTTTTTGTTGTAATTACATAGAGTGTGTATTCACAGCTGTGCAGAAACTTAGGTGAAATGAGAAAATATTTCAAATTATAAATGAGAAAACTAATGTCTATAAAGGGGAAAGTTCTCAATGCTATGTAGATATCTATCTAGAAATATGTATTAGTCCTCAGTCTATATGTGCAAATCATGATGACATTGAATTTGTTTAAAGCTACTGTTTTAGGGGCTAGATGTGGGAGGCCCACTCTCACTTTTTCTTCAGGGTACTTTTGAGGAGAGAGGGATGAGAAATATTTAGATAGAAAATAGAGAGGAAAGAAGACAGAGAGAAACACAGGATAGCTTTGGGAGGGCCTGGCTCAATATCCACCGGCCCCTTCTGTCTCTTCATAAGGGCTTTTTATATGCATGGCAAGAGGTGTGGCAAAAGACCTCCCCCTAGCTCAGCCAAGTGAAGATCCTTCTAATCACGTGGTAACCATGCATGTGGTCAAGCCATTGCTTAATACAGCCCTGCTAGGCAAAGCAAGCTCAGATTTTACTAGGAAACCTCTGTGGGCCTACAGAACTCCCTCCTCTTGATATAATAAAGGACCCCCCAACCCCCTCAGATAGACTGTGCCTGTCTTTGTTCATCTTTCTTGATTAATTTTTCTTACCTATCTTAGAGGTACACTTTCCATGAAGCATACTCTGGCTTAGGTTGGAAGCTATCAAGAAGAAAGTTGCCCATTTTTGACTACCAGCCACTGGCAGGAGGGTGTATAGAGCTTAACTTAGCCCTGACTCAGGTCCCTATCAAGAACTTGTAAATAGTTGCCACATCCACAGCACTCTCCATAGCTGCCACACCATCCAGTAAAGGAGCAGAGGATAATAAAGCTGGAATATCCTTTTAGGAATGGGTCTACAATGACTACAGCAGTCTTAGCTGCACCAAACCCTTTTCTAAATCAAAACTCTCGATGCGAACACATCAAATAAACTGTATCAAACTTAAAGATTCCCTTAGCTTTTACCAAACAATGTTTCATAAATAAACACAATTCTAATATGAACATGATTATAGATATTTACAACTAACATGAATATCACTGTAATATTTATACTTTTCGCAAACTTATATTCGAAAGGAAATTCTATAGAACTATTTTACAAACTTTAGCACACATCTAGAAGAGATTTCTTAGCAGGACTATTTATGTTTTCTTCCAACACGAGAGAGAGAGAGAAAGAGAGAGAGAGAGAGAGAGAGAGAGAGAGAGAGAGAGAGAGAGAGAGAGTAATTTCTTTGAACTTCATTTGAAAAGAAGAAATAAAAGTACTTCTTTTATGGTACTATTTACGAAATTCAAAGGTCTAGATCAAGTATATAACATAATATGTAAAACATTGTTTATAAGACATTGCTCAGTAGATCATAATCTCAATCACCTATAATTGATATTCTTTAGACTTTTCTGACAAAGCAAGCAAAATGTTAGTTTTAAAAGAATAGTGCTGCTGTTAAACAACACTTTATGCATTCCAGAGTTTTTAAAAACTCTGTTGAGAGTGATCTCATTTCTAGGTATGCATACATAGCAAGCCCAAAAGGGAAGAAAGGAGGAAGAGGAAAAGAAGCACCTAAGGAACATTCTGTTTCAGAATTGTACAGCTGGCAGCTCACAACAGTCAATCTCCCCAATAGTTAATCTCCCATCAGGGGAAAATAATTGTCTAAATTGGAGTGTGGTTCCAGATCTGCAGCACTCAGCAGACTCCCCTGATAGTCTATGCTCTGAAATCTTAATGTGTGGCTGAGTGGCTTCACCACTCTCACAGGCAGCTCTCTGTATCACATAGTAGTGTCATTGCTAGGGGGCTGTAACACTTGTTGGTAAGGGGCTGTAACACTTGTTGCCTGGGGGCTGTGACACTCAGGACAACACCATTCCCTGAGAGTCACCTTTCCTGCCAGGGCCTTTTAGCCATTCCAGAACCTGCAGACATGTGCCCAGCAGTGGACAGTCACCAGCCAGGGGGCTGTCCCTTAACTTGTTACAGCTCCCCTGAGTGCCACAATTCAAACAAACATTGCTGAATGTTTCACTCAGTTACAGCAGAACTTTTGGTTTGCTCTCCTGAGAAGCCTCACTTCAGGACAATGGTGGAATTACCATATTGAGGTGCTATAAAGCTCTTAGAAAAAACTTACTGCACAGCTATTAGGAACCATCTTTCTTAAAGGAGTCTGCATTGAAACAGAGGCGGTGTGGCTCCAGGTTTTGTTTCATTCCAGCTTTTCTGGAGAAATGTCAGCAGCTAGGGTATTATTAGAGCTCACATTTCTTTGTTCCACACACATCACCAGACTCAGGAAGCCACCATGCTTCATTTAGTACCTATGGGTACAATTTTTCCTTTTCTTAATTTTTGAAGCTGCTTTTTAAGATTACCATGAGCTCTTTAATGATGCCTTGACTTTTATTTCAATGTTCCCCTCTTGCATCTGAAGCACAACCCAAGTTTCTTATTTGCCCTAAGTTTTTTCCACACCTAAAGCAATTTCCAGGTGTACAGACTGCTTTCTCTTGTTTTCTAAAGGGTCTTAAAGTGACTTGATATAGGTCATTAGCATCTTAATTGCCTCCTGACAGTCAAGTTTTGTTCATCCAATTCTCAGGAGGCAAGGTTAACAAAGCTTTACAAAAAAATTGCATTTTTGAGCTGAAGGGCCAGCAAGCCATTTTTTTTTCTGCACTTTCTTCTGGCCCTGCCTGCCTATGCTGCCATGCTGTTAGGAGGTACATTTCCCAAGCAGCCCTTCCTGGTCAGAGCTGTAGCCAATTGTGGCCATTGCACTCCCTGTTCACCTGGCACTGTCCCTGGAGCAGGTCATTCCCATCCAACTGTGTGCACTTGGACAGGTATTTGGTGGCTTTTCTCCCACTCCTTACTGGGTCAGTGAAAAGAGTACTTGAAAAAAGCTTCTCCAGCTCTAGGCCCTAGGCCCTAGGATACAACCAGCCCCTGGTAACCCCCCACCCATCTCTGCCCCAATTGCTGGCCAACAGAGAAAACTCCTGCAGGCAGGCTCCCCCACCAAACCCCCTCATTGAAACCTACAATCTATAAGACCCATGCCTACCCCAATACCCATCCCCCAGTGGTGACCTCAGTGACTTCCTGAGACACAGAATCCTCCTGCTATCATTGGACCAATAGGTGAGCTGCTCTTCTCTAACCCAGAGAGTCCTGCCTCTAGGACCCAGGCATAGGACACAACCAGTTCCTGAGAACTCCCACCCATCTCTGTCTCAGTTGCTGACCAGCAGGAAAAACTCCTGCGGGCAGGCTCCCCCACCAAAACCCCCAATCAGACCCTGTAATTGATAAGACCCACACACTACCCCAGTACCCATCCCTCTGGGACACCAGTGGCTTCCTGAGACACAGAATCCACCAGCTCTGACTGGGCCAAGAGCCCTGATAAGACCAAGAGTGACCCTCTGAGCCATAGAATCAGCTAGCTTGGATTGGACCAAGAACAGCTCCCTGAGATACAGAATCTGACAGCTCCAATTAGACCAAGAGCTAAGATTAGACCCAGAAGGCCCCCAAGACACAGACACAGCAAGCACAGATTGGATCAATAGCAGCTTTCTCAGACACAGGCACCTCTTGCACCTATTGGAGGAAGAGATGTGTAGATGCCAGTGCAAAAATACATACAACAACATAAAGAGCAATATGGCATCACCAGAACCTAGCCCTTCTACAACAGCAAGACCTGAGCATCACAATGTAGAAGAAGCAGAAGAAAGTGACCTTAAAAATAACTTCATGAAGATGATAGAGACCTTTAAAGAGGAAATGAAAAATTCCCTAAAGGAAATTGAGGAAAAGACAAACAAAAAATTGGAAAAAAAATCAATAAATCTCTTAAAGTAAGTAAAAAAAAAAAGATGAAAGAGCAATTAAACATGTGAAGTTAACACTTCAAGACATGAAGAGTGAAATAGAAACAATGAAGAAGACACAAACAGAGGGAATGCTGGAAAC